TTGCAAGTCCACCAAAGATTTTCTCCAGAGATAATCCAGGAACAATATTTTAAGAGATGACATTGTTTAAGTGAACTCAGCTATAAGTATTTTAATTGCTTACAAAATTAATAAAATTTGTCACATCCTTAACTCCTGCATGAGGAATTTGGTATCTCTGTGCCAGGAAGAAACATGCTGTGGGTACCAAATTGCCTGCAAAAGTCACAGCCAAGCCAGAAGTTCATGCTAAAAGATAATAATACTTACATAGTAAAGAAGTAATTTAAATGGTATTGAAAATTGGCAAAATACTGGTTTTGGAAGGATAGTTGTGAATTGCTAAGACATTCAGGATATGAGTTGACAGTCTGTAAGGTGACTATAGTAATTTTCTTGATTTTGTATAGCTGAATGAGTTGCTTTGTTCCTTAGACTACACATATGGAAACACAAATGGTTTCCCAGTGACAGAGATGCTATTAATATAGAGAAAATTATCTGGGCTTTCAGTAAAGTATAAATTAGAATTTTCTAAGAAGAGGTGTGGAGATAGCAACAGTCTGTAGTTGCCTGTATGGAACAGAGATGGATTGTTGCAAATGCCTTCAAAAGGAACCTCATTTAAAAACTTAACTAATACTATTTACTTGTTGACATTGCTTAACTTTGTTACTATTTTTGAGAGGCATAGCAAATGGTGTCTTCTGCCTTCAAATTAAGAGGTGAGGCAAGAAGTATATGCCCCTGGAAAAATTCATGGTTCATCCACACCTTGAATAGTGAAATTCTGGTTTCTTTACTTCCAAAGATGCAATAGAAATAGAAAAGGTTCAGAGATGGGCAACAAGGATGATGAAAAGTATGGAATGGCTTCCAGGCTAGGACTCTTTAGTCTGGAATAAGGACAACTGAGAAGGTATGAGATATAAAAAAAAAGTAGCACTGCCAGGACAGACATGGATCAATAGTTCCCTGTCTATGCTAATACCAAAACCATGATCCACACTGAGATGCTCTCAGGAACCAGGTTCAGGACAAGCAAAAGGAGATGAATTTCACACAACAGACTGTGGAACTCCAGTGTGCTGGGAATGCAAGGTGTTTACAATATTTTAAGAAACTACACAAGCACTTGGAAGAGCAAACCCTTGGAGTTACTATTTAGACAGACCACATCAGGCTCAGGATAGGTGGAGGGTGGGAGGGTTTTAAAGGAATCCATTGTGAATTTTTTCTATTCTTCCTTTTCCCTAGCTGTCTGCCCATGATCACCAGGAAGATAGAAATGTGACTTAGACAGAACCTAGGTCTGAATGAGCGCAGACATTCCTATGTTGTTACATCTTTTTAAATATCGATGACAGTTTCCTAAATATGAAGCCCATCACAGGGAACAAGGTGAGTAATGTTACTTCTGTGAATAGTCTCACAGAAGTAAACTCAATCACTTTCAGTGTTACCTAAGTCTTCAAGAGTCTGCAGGCCCAAGATCTTCTTAATTGTTTAATTCAACTGTGAAACATTGCATATGAAGTACAACCATATGTGTGTCTTTCTAAGTTCGCATTCTGCCTATTAAGAAATTACATTTTCTTCTATGCCACAGCATTTTCTAAGTATTTGATTCATTACCGTGCCCCACCGGAATCAAGCAACTAAAGATCTACAGTACGTTCAACAGGTGTAAAATCTTATCACAAACTTATAATAGCATGCTAAGCATCATAAAACAGATTAAAGGATTTGCATTTTTTCCTGGCCTTCTACATATTAAACAACAAAAACATATACTTCTGTCATTTAGGCAGATCAGGGAGTTACAAGTAAAATATGGATTAAAAATAGTATCAACAGCAACTAAAAAAGTCATAAGACACTGGAAAATCTGGATGAATGTTTCTGTATGCCTTGCACTACGCTCCCCTAGCTCTGCATTATTCCTTGACCAGTCTTAAAAGTTTTGGTAATTTTTGGCTTATTTTGAAGAAATACAACTGGTTTATATTGTATAGAAAAATAGTAAGAAACCAAGAAAGGAAAGTCAGAATTGATTCGTAAATGTTACCTTGATTAAGGAGTTAGTTGCAAACTACTTGTAATGCCTTCTGTGAATTAAACATAGGTTTAATTTATAGGTTATTTCTGATGCTGAGAAGGACCTTTCATGGTGAAAAAAAACCCAGAATCTTTCCAAGAGCCATCTCCAGCATGACTCTGATAGAGCAATTTGTATTTGTTACACCAATTGACTGCAGAAGAAAGGAATGTACGTCAAAACCTCACATAAATGTCCTTTCACAGACAAGATATCCCTCTTTTGAATTACAATAATGAGGACAATATTGTTTTGGTTTGCTACAGACCTTCCCCTAAGTTTTTTGAAGGCTTCAGAGATTCAGTGGAATTTGACAAGAGGTATTTAGGCTTTTGTGTTTGCCTTTAATTGCTGCGCACCAGGGTGTATCCTGATGCTGCAGTCGGAACATCTGAGCAGAGGACGCAGAACCTTTTGCTGCTTGTTGCAACTTGCAGGACTGGAACATCACACAGTGTGCAGAAGCATGCACATTTAGAGCAAAGATTTTGTTTCAAAATGTTTTTCTAAGTAAGTCCTATGCCTGGCAACTGAAAGAGATGTTGCCCTTCTACATAGTGAATATGTTCTTATACCTCTAAATTAAGGGCTAACTCTGCAAATACACACAAATAGAAGTTACTGGGCAAACACTGCTGTTTATAACTGTTAAGTTGCATTGCAGTTTTGGTTAAAACCTTATGTATTTCTGTCAACTCTCTGCACTTCATTTGCCTGCACAGAAATTATTTGCAGGTTTGGTTCTGCCGCAGTTCATTTCAGGATGAGCATTTTGTTGTAACTTTAAGTGTGCAGATCTTCAAAGACTACGGACATGCTTAACTGTATTCACATTAGGTATCCCATTGACTTCAACTGCAACAGTAGGGATGCCGTTGCAAGATCAAGTAAGATAACCTTCTATGCCTATAGCTATGTAAAAAAAAAAAAAAAATTTAAATAAACCATGTCTGTTTTGCAATGGAAACTCCACTAACATAAATACTTTTACAGCCACATAAAAATAGAAACATGAAACACTTAGTTTTTCCACAGGTCTCTTAAGTAACACCCAGTGCTATTGTTACAATGTTGTTCTCTTTTTAATTGCACCACTATTTAGGAAAACTCACAATTCTGACTTATGAGGAGAGTTACATGGAATTACAAGGAAAACTTATAATGTAAAAACAGACATGTATCATTCATGTAAAATAAGAGACTGGTTCTTTACATGCCAGTAATTTTTGTAGTCTTAGGAACCATTTGTTTTCCTTTCCTCTCATGAAAATAACTAATTTAATAGAAGTTTGCCCCACTTCTCCCCTCACACACGCACATACACAGAACCAACAAAACTCAGTAATTTTCCACTGGCACAAAGTCTTTCAGTATCTACCATCTGCTGTGCTGGCAGGACCCACAAGAGGAGTAGCAGCAGCAAGTCAGGAACTGTAATGTCATGTTGTGAATATTCATTCAATTTTCATTGTCACGGCTGGTCCTCATCATCTCGGAGACTCACCTTGCCCCTCTCAACTTCCCTTTGACAGCTTTAGAGCGGGGGAGCAGACAGAAGGAAGATACTGAAATCAAACCCCTCAAACACCAGCAATCCCCAGTCAAAATCAGTACCCATTCCTGTTGGAGGGTTGGGGTGTGTGTCTGTCACTCCCATTTACCATTGTTGTTGATAAAGATTTTTAAAGACTTTTGCTCTGGGAAGAGTACTTTAGTTAAATACCACTTTTCTAGGTCTGTAACCAGTTTATTTTGAATTTACTTATCATAGCGCAGAGTGTCTTTTCCCCTCTTGCTAATTCTTTTCCCAGGTTACATGTCTGTGCTTTCAACACTGCAGCATGGTACATGGGAGTGCACAACTTCATTATTGCGGGCTCCAAATGTGGAAACAGAGTTCAGGTATCACAAAGGGCAGTCCCTCCAGGAAGCACTCTTGCATCGCATTCAAGTTAAAACATGCTAATTTTAGGCTTCTGTTATTTCAAACCTACCAAATCTAATGCTTCTGAAAACGGGTCTCAGCAGGTAGGTCCACAGTGCTCAGGGAGGCCCATGGTGAATATCCTGGCTCTGCCTGCAGGCAAAGGGGACATGTAGATACACTTGGAGGTCCCGAGGTGGTAGAGATCTCTGGGCAAGGAATCTGCTTTGGCGTAGAGGGTTGCCATCAGCAGCTATCCTCCAGTCAAGTGACGACACTAGGACAAACTTTCGCTAGCTTCCACACATTGCATGTTGTGACAGAAGACGACAGTTGTCCTTTGTCATTCCTCCAATCTGAGCTCAGAGATTTGCCTTCTGTGTAGCTGGCTTTGTAGGAAATCTGTGCTGCTGCATCCTTGGGATAACAACTCTCCCCATAAGTGCTGCTGCCGTTTTATGATCAGGTAGTAGTAAAACCAAAGCAGGGTTTCACTTATCTTCTGCCTGCGTTAACATCCTTACCCTTGTACTTCGGTGATGGGACAGAAGGATACCAAAGCAAGAGGCCTGCAAACGCCCGACGTCCAGTTAATTCCGCTGCCTTCTGTTTGAGCACCTGGGCACCTACGTATGCTCAGGGCAAGTTTAACAGTGCCCTCCCGACTGCGAGATCTCCTCACAGCTACAATCCCTTCGGTGAACCTCGACCCCCAGAGCCCCCCGAGAGCGGAGGTTTCAGCTGGCTGCTTCGACTGCAGCTCCCCGTGCGGAGCCGGTGCAGGCGGGCGGCTCCGGTTAGAGCCAGGGGCGAGGCCGCCCGCTGCCGCGCGCCGCTCCTGAGGAGCTGCCGGCCGTTTGGGAGGAGGAGACGGGGCCGCCCGGCCGGCGGACGAGGGGCGCCCGCCGCCTCCTGCGGCACCTGCCCGCGGGCCGCGGCGGGAGCAGCCAATCGCGGCCCGGTTCGGCGGCGCCGGGCTCTCGCGAGAGCCGCCGAGTAAACATCCCTCGGCCGAGGCCCTCCCGCGGCCCTCCTCCTCCTGCCATTAGCGCGGAGGAGGGGGCCGTGCTGGCAGAGGCGCCGGCTGCAGGCGGCGAGCGGGGAGCCGGCGGGAGGGCGGCGCGGAGAGGTGAGTGCTGCGGGGAGCCGGCGCAGCCCTCCGCCCCGGGGGCGCCCCTCGGCCCGGCCCGG